CAAACCCAGGAGTGAAGCCAAGAACACAGGGACGCCACAATGTGGATGAACTGGGAAGCCATTACGTTCAGCAAAACAGGTCGGCTGCCAAAGGACAAACACGCTGTCTCATATACACGAAGTAGGCAAATATACCAAAACCAGAGATTATTGATGGTTACCAGGGCTGGAAGGGAGGGGAAAGGGTGTTTCTGCCTGGAAGGCACTGGGTTTACACTAACGGTGGTAGAATAGTTTAGAGAAGGACAAGGATAATAAGACACCACATGAGAAACATCATCAGGTCCTGCTCCTCACTTTCCAGTTGCCCTGCTCTGCCTCCCATTCCTCCCTAATGGCAGAACCAGCTCCTGGGCTACATCCTTGCTCCTGTACTGCCTGCCCCGTCCCTTTACATGGCACGTAAACTCCACTAGGTCGGAGACAGTGCAGGCAGCTCACTGGATGACAAATGACAACACAGAAGCCTCCATAACCTAAGTGTCCCTGGAAGATGGCTGGCTGCTGAGGGACTTACACTTTTCAACTACAACACAGACCACTACAGTCCCTCAGCCAGCAAACCACAAAGTGCCCTTGCCTTTGCTGTCCACCATTATCTCCCACCTGATGGAAATTATCAAACAATATTAATATCATATGTAAGTAAAATCTTGCTGAAGATAATTCAAAAATGTCTGCAGTATTTTATTGACAGAAACTTCCAGAAATGCAACCTGGATTCAAAAGAGGATGTGGAACGATGGATATCATTGCCGATGTCAGGTAGATCTTGGCTGAAAAAAAGAACACCAGAAAGATGTCTACCTGTGTTTTATTGACTATGCAACAGCATTCGATTATGTGGATCATGAGAAATTATGGGTAAGTTTGAGAAGAATGGGAATTCCAGAACATTTGATTGTGCTCATCAGGAACCTGTACATAGATCAGGAGGCTGTCATTTGAACAGAACAAGGAGATACTGCATGGTTTAAAATCAGAAAGGGAGTGCGTCGGGGCTGTATCCTTTCATCATACTTATTCAATCTATACGCTGAGCAAATAATATGAGAAGCCAGATTGTATGAAGAAGAACATGGCATCAGGATTGGAGGAAGACTCATTAACAACCTAAAATATGCAGATGACACAACTTTGCTTGCAGAAAGTGAGGATGACTTGAAGCACTTACTGATAAAGATTAAGGACTTCAGTCTGCAGTATGGATTACATCTCAGCATAAAGAAAATGAAAATCCTCACAAGTGGACCAATAAGCAGCATCACAATAAATGGAAAAAAGACTTCATATTACTTGATTCCACAATCAACACCAATGGAAGCAGCAGTCAAGACATCAGACAACGTATTGCATTGGGCAAATCTGCTACAAAAGACCTCTTTCAAAGTGCTGAAGAACAAAGATGTCTCTTTGAAGACTAAGGTGTGCCTAACCCAAGACATGGTATTTTTAATTGCCTCATATGCGTGTGAGAGCTGGACAATGAATAAGGAAGACTGAAGAAGAGTCAATGCTTTTGAGTTGTGGTGCTGGCGAAGAATACAAAAAGTACCATGGACTCCCAAAAGAATGAACAAATGTGTCCTGGAAGAAGTACAGCTAGAATGCTCCTCGGAAGGGAGAATGGCCAGACTTCATCTCACCTACTTTGGTCATGTTGCCAGAAGGGATCATTCCTTGGAGAATGGTACCATGCTTGGTAAAGGGGAACGTCAATGAAAAAGGGGAAGGCCCTCAACAAGATGGACTGATACAGTGGCTGCAACGATGGGCTCAGGTATGGTAAGGATTGTGAGGCTGGGGTAGAACCAGGCAGTGTTTTTTTCTGTTGTGCACAGGGTCACTGTGAGTCAGAGCCAATTTGGCACCTAACAACAAGAGCAGCAGGAGATTCTCAACATAAATTTGTCTAATTAATGAGAGAAGGATGAAGGACCGAGCCTGAGGCAGAAGTCAAAGATCACCCAACAAGCTCTGTTTGTAAATAAAAACATGGTCCCTAAAGTTCAGAATTTCACAACCAACCGGTGCTACACCAGCCTAGGATACACTCAGTAAATGACTGACCTTCAACATGTGTTAACAAGCATGACAGCCCTCAGCCCATGAGATAGGGCACTGATTCCACATATTGCTGGAAACAACTTAAAACTAATGTATGTCTGTCTGCACTATCTCCCAAAACTAAGAGATAAAAAGGAAGGAGTTCACTGCTGAAGACAGATGTTGTTGTTAAGTGCCATCGAGTCATTTCCGACTCGTAGCAACCCTATGCACAGCAGAACGAAACCACCCGGTCCTGAGCCAACTCCATGATTCTCGCTACACTTGAGCCCATCACCGCCGCCACCGTGTCAATCCACCTCATTGAGGGCCTTCCCCTCTTTCGTCGACCCTCCGCCTTACCAAGCATGACATCCTTCTCCAGGGAATGGTCCCTTCTAACAACATGACCGAAGTAGGTGAGACGAAGTCTGGCCATTCTCACCTCCAAGGAGCATTCTGGCTGCCCTTCCTCCAGGACAGATCTGTTAGCTCATTTAGCAGTCCATGGTACTTTCAGCATTCTTTGCCAACACCACAGCTTAAAAGCACCAACTCTTCTTCGGTCTTCCTTATTCATTATCCGGCTCTCACATGCATACGAGGCAACTAAAAATACCACGGCCTGTGTCAGGCACACCTTAGTCCTCAAGGAGACATCTTTGCTCTTCAGCACTTAAAAGAGGTCCTTTGCAGCCGATTTGCCCAGTGCTATACATCATCTGATATCCTGACTGCTGCTTCCACTGGCGTTGATTATACAACCAAGCAATGTGAAGTCTCTGACAATTTCAATTTTTTATCCATTTATCGTGATGCTGCTTACAGGATCAGTTGTGACGATTTGTTTTCTTTATATTGAGATGTACTCTATACTGCAGACTGTATTCTTCAATCTTCATCAGCAAGTACTTCAAGTCATCCTCACTTTCAGCAAGCAAAGTTGTGTCGTCAGCGTTATCACAGGTTATTAATGATTCTTCCTCCAATCCTGATGCCATGTTCTTCTTCATACAGTCCAGCTGAAGACAGAACAGAATAAATCCATGGGATCCTTCTTACCTTGGTACTACCTGAAGACAACTGTACTTCCCTGGGAATAAAACTTAAACGTTTTGCATTACCCACTGCTCTCAAGTCAATTCCAACTCACAGCAACCCTACAGGACAGAGTAGAACTGTCCCACAGGGCTTCCAAGGCTGTAGAGACTGAGCCACTGGAGCTGGACAGACCTGAAATGCAAGACCAGGGAACTACTGACAGGACCTGCCTCCAGGACGGGTGTAAGACTTACTTGAAATATTGTTGTTGCTGTTATGTGCTGTGGAGTCAGATCCGACTCACAGCGACCCCTCCTTGGGTTTCCGAGGCAGTATCACTGTGGAAGCAGACTGCCCAAGCTTCCTTCTGAGGAGCAGCTGGTGGGTTTGAACAGCCAGCCTTCTGGTTAGCAGTTAAGTGCCTTAGGTACTGCGCTACCAGAGCTCCCATGAAAAAGCCTAAAGAAAGCCCGCAGCACATACGCCCTCGAGCAATATGTCAATTAGAGAAGTGAATGGGGAAACCAATGTATGTCCGTCGAATAAAGAAAGCCTAACAGTTCACAAACTCGCACGTCCATTATTCTCTGCTTCCTAAGCAACCCCGTGAGGTACATGTCACAGGTTCTATCACAGCCGAGCCCCTGAGCTCGCAGTCGCAGCGAGTTGCCCGAGATGACCTGGTGGGTCGGCGGTGGAGATGGACACAAAAGCAAATCACTCAACGTCTGGCTATTTGGTGACAGGTGCTCTTACTCAGTTTACGCGTGAAGTGGGCAGTGTGCCAGGGACCCGGGAGGGAACAGGAATTTGGATAGAGGGGGAGAGAGTGGGGCCGCGCATCCGACAGGGAAGCAGCCAGACTCAGCTGCCGGTTCCTACCGGCGCCGGTGAGGCGGGGCCGCTCAGACCCGGAATGGAGCCGCCCCCCGGCTCCCCGCGCCAGCGGGCGCACCGCGATGGCGTCACCGCCGCGTCAAGCGCAACCAGTGCCCGCCTCCAGCGTCCGGAACCGGCAGACAGCGCCCCCTGCTCACCTGCCGGGTGGTGCCGAGGGCTCTCACGCCCGTCCCGGCAGTCTTGCCGCCTCCTGAGACACCACAGCATCGCCACAGCACTGAGAGCGGCCCGGCCACCGCCCGACTGCTACCCGCAGCCACCAGACGGTGCGACATCCCCCACCCCCGACTTCACGCCGCTCGGGCGCACGCAAAAGCCGCGCCCAAGAGGTTATAGGCGCCAGAGATCCTACACATGCGCGTGGGGTCAAACTCGACGACTCGGGGACCTCTCTTTAGGTGCCTATTTCACTGCCTGATTTACTGAGGGTTTAAACATGAGCGCCGCCTTGTCCTATCTAGATATTTGACAGCAGAAAACCCAGCGACTGATTCGGACTTGGCGCTAAAGCTTGGGACACCCAGCTCCTGTGTACTTCTTAAAAGTCGGGCATAGCCAAGGGCGCCTATTTCCAGCGTCCTCCAAGGGAAGCGGCCCACAAGACTGAGCACCTCCCCTCTGCCCCGCCTCCGAGCCGTCGCCGCTACCGGCGTTCCTTGTTATGGGTATCCGGTCTAAGATGTTGGTCCGATATAGTTGATGCGCAGAGGAACTGACACCGTATGTGTTATACTGCATTTTACGCCCCTTAACGGATTGCTTCTCGGAAGCCACAGAAACCCACTCCGGTTTTGATAGCCCTGCAGCGCCCGGGTCCGTGAAGTTGGACGTCAGAGGCCCACGCTGCTGCCTGTGTCTGGCGAGTGTGGCTGGGCAGGCCCTTGGTGCCCCCTCCCACGTCAGCAGGGACAAAGTCCACCGCCTCCCTGATCTTTCCCGGATTCTGTCGGGGTGGCCACAGGCCTTCCTGCCCCCTGAGACTGCAGTACTTCTGTTACATTTCGGAGGCAAACATGCCTGGGAAAAGGCCTTTAAATGCAGCCATCATCCCAAGTGCCAAAAGGGAACGGAAGGCGATTACCCTGGACATCAAGCTAGAAGTGCTAAGGCGTTTCGAAGTGGGTGAGAAGCTCAGCCAGATCGCAAAGGCTCTGGGCCTCGCAGTCTCCACAGTGGCGACCATCCGAGATAATAAAGAAAAAATCAAAGCGAGTTCTCAAGTAACTACGCCCTTGAGAGCCTCTCGGCTGACTCGCCACCGGAGTGCAGTGATGGAGAACATGGAGCGGCTGTTGAGCGTGTGGCTGGAAGACCAGAGTCAGCGGAACGTGCCCATGAGTGTCTCCGCCATTCAGGAGAAGGCTAAGAGCTTGTTTGATGACTTGCAGCGCCAACAGGGCGAAAGCTCTCAAACGGAAAAGTTTAGTGCAAGTAAAGGGTGGTTTGTGAGGTTCAAGGAACGCCATTGTTTACCCCACTTCAAGGTGAACAGCACTTCTCCCGGCAGCAATGCGGACACATATCCGGATGTGCTGAAAAGCCTCATCGAAGAAGGTGAGTACACCTCCCGGCAAGTTTTTAATGTAGATGAGACCGGGCTTTATTGGAAGAGGATGCCCGAAGGAATGTTTATTTCCGTGGAGGAGAAAGCTGAGCCAGGCTTTAAATCATCCAAAGATCGCCTGATGCTGCTTCTTGGCGGCAATGCGGCGGGGGACTTCAAGTTGAAGCCCCTGCTGGTATACCGCTCCGAAGACCCCGAGGCTCTGAAAGGGTACTCGAAGCCCAACCTGCCTGTGATTTGGCGCTCAAACAAAAAGGCTTGGGCCACCAGGGCCATTTTTCATGAATGGTTCACATACTTTTTTTGCCCTGCTGTTGAAAAATACTGTGCTCAAAATAACCTCACCAACAAGGCATTGCTCATCCTAGACAGCGCACCCTGCCACCCAGTGAATCTCAGCGATCTGTCTGACAATGTCAGAGTGGAGTATCTTCAAGACAGTACAGCTGACTCCATGCAGCCCATGGGACAAGGCGTGGCCTCCATTTTCAAAGCTCATTACCTGAGAAGGATTTTTGAGCACATCCTGGAAGCAACCGATGGGGAGGATAAGGCTACAATCAGGGAGTTTTGGAGGAACTATGACATTGTGGATGCTGTAGACAACATTGCAGTAGCTTGGGAGGAGCTGAAACCAGCGACAATGAACAGTGTGTGGAAGAAGATTTGGCCCGAGTGTGTTCACTTCCAGAGTTTTTCCCAAACAGATAACATTGCATGGCTTCAACGAAACATCATGGCCCTTGCCAAGAATGTGGCCTTTGAAGAGGTTGTAGAAGCAGACGTGGGCCGGTTACTGCAGTCTCATGAAGAAGACCTCTCTAATGAAGAGCTGATGCAGCTGGAACGGGAACGGGCAGTGGGAGAGGGAGAGAATGAAGATGCTCCCCCTGCCCTGCGCCAGCTGACCACAGAAGCTTTGTCAGTGGCCTTCTCACATTTTGAGGCTGGATTACAGATTCTGACGAGTAACAGCCCTGATGAGGAATGGAAATTCAAAGTTTCAAGAGCAATCAATGATGCAATAAACTGTTATAGGGAACTATACAATGAGAAGAAGCGGCGTTCCAAGCAGCTGTCTTAGGTTATTTTTCAGTGTAATCCAAAGTTAATTAAGGTGAAGCTAGAAGCAGCAAGATGACCTCGTGAACTCTACAGATGAGGCCCAGGCAACACCTTCTACTTCCAGAAACCCTGTTTTCTGTCATGTTTCATTTTGACATTTGAGAGTGTTACATTCATTTAAATATGTGTTTTAAAAAGATTGCATGCACAAATGACCAGCATGGTGGAATATTTTGGGAAAGGAAAGCAATAATAGTGGTGACATGAAAAATGTCATCAATGTCCCTGAGCTGTAAATGTGAAAGTTATGTTGATGAATGTCATTTTGTGTATGTTTTCACCACAATAAAAAAAAAAAAAAAAAGACCAAGGGAGGAACTAACCCTGGTAGACATTAAAACACACTCTGAAGCCTCTGTCATGAAAACAGTTGGTTCTCATATGTGAAAAACCAGACCTGTGGGACAGAATAGGGAATCCAGAAATCAAGTGAGTTTGGTAAAAGTGACATTTTAAATCACTGGGCAAAGATGAATTGTTTTACAACGGTACGCAACTGGATAGGCATTTGGAAAAGAATAAAATTAGAACCACACCTCACAGCATCCTTCAAATAGATCAGGGGTCTACATGTAAAAAGTGAAACCATACAGGTGCTAGAAAACAGGTGAATTCCCCTTTAACCTGGGTATTGGGAAAGGCTTTCCAACTATGCTTCAAATCCAGATGCAATAGATACGTGTGTGTGTGTGTGTGTGTGTATTTATATCAATCTGACTATATTAAAATGTAAAAAGACATTAAAAACAAAACAACTTTCCCATGGGAAAGAAAACAGCACAAACAAAACCAAAAGACAATTTATGAACTGGAGGAAAATATTCACAACATACATCACAGGTAACAGGCTAATATCCCTAATAGGTAATAATGCTTAAGGATAGAGAGAGGGGAAAAAAAAAAAAAAAAAAACTCAACAGAAAAATGGGCAAGAGAATTCATAAATAAATAATACCCTTAAACATGAAAAGATGTTCAGCCTCACTTGTAATTAGAAAAATGTAAATTGAAAGGACATGCCATTTCCCACCAGATTAGTTGATGACACAAAGTATGACTGCACCTGCTGACGAACATGTGGGTTAACTCTACCTCTTGTACATTGCTGGTAAGATGCAAAATGATGCAGCCATACAGAGAGGCATTTGACACGATAATAAACATTGTTATCTTTTGACTTGCAATCCCAGCTATTAGGGTTGTACCCTGAGGATTCACCTCCAACAAAAGAAAATAAATGTGAACAAAGTTATTCGGTGCAGCATTGTTTATAAAGGCAAAATACTGGGACGATCCAAGTGCTCATCTACAGAAGAGTGGTTTAATGAGCATGGTAATTCCGCACACCAGAGTGTAATGTATCTGTGGCAAGGGCAAAAGGCAATATTCAAAAGAGCATAGTATACTATCTTCTATGTGCGGGAGAGGTAAAATAAGAAAATAGGTGTTTCACTTATTTGTACAAAATGAAGCCCAGGCAGGAGAAACCAAAACTTAGACTGGTTGTAGGGAGTGGAGGTAGACGCTTCTCTGAGTAGAGCTTTTGTAAAGTTCTGACTTGTGGAACCACGTTAATCTGTTAAACATTCCAAACAATACACAAGGATGGGAGGAAACCACAAAATGGACTATATCACCTGACACATTTCAAATGAGTAACAACCACAATGAATGGTAAGAAACACTGCAGCAAGTAAATTTGGAACACTCTAGTTTGATTATATGCTCTCAGGCTACAGGCTAAAAAAATCAAAAACAAATCTTGAACTCTGCTCAATAGGCTTCGTTTTCACAGAGGCATGACTTAGTGATTCCAAAAGAATCTTCCTTGTGTTGTAGGACTGAGCGGGTAAATAAATACGTGATAGGTGATGGGGCCAGTTTTCTCACTGTCAAGGGAATTACAAATATGAAAAAGGGAATGACAGAATGCACCTTGTGGTATTGGATTTAAATTAGAGGTATCAGTGTGAAGTGTTTTTTATACTACAGACAAATAAATCTAGGTGTGTAGGATGATATTTCCTAGCTCTGGGTGTTGGAGGGACAGAGAAGCAGTGACACCCCCGTAGCAGTGAGCACACCCAACATCAGATCTTGGTTACTAACACCGTTCTACACAGAAGGGAATCAGGGCTCCTTGGAGAAAGGGCTGATTTCAGCACTGGGACTGGGAAACTTTCCCAAGAGGCTGGAATGCCTTGCTAAGCCAAAGTAAAAGAGCAGCTAAAGAATGATAAAGCAGAGAGGTCGTAGGACCTCCCGTTTGGCCAAAGTCTGGGATATTCTGAGTGTCAAATACAGTGAAGGATTATAACCCACTGAATAAGAAATTATGAGTCCATAAATAAATGGGGGAAAAGGGAGAGTTCTTCCATAAAAATAGAACTAAAAAGTGAGGAAGGAATGATGCAACTAGAAAATCCCAATAATAACTGAGTTAGGCAAAAATCATCAATGGATGCTAAAGCTAATGGGTGGGACTTTGAGGAGTAACTGAGTACCTACATGGACTTAAACTATCTCCCACAAGATGCTTATGAACTACCAGGCTTCATGAGTTGGAATTAACTAAATGACAATGGGTTTATATTTTATAGTGGAGAAGCCTGGCAGACATCATGTTACCCAGGTGACCAAAGGTGACATCTTCATGGGACAAATTGACATTGTGCACCTAGTGGAATCATGCGCTGAGAACACAGCACCACTGCTATTCCCGCCAAGGGGGCAAAGCCTAAATCTAACATGAAACAAACTCAAATTGAGGGACATGCTTCAAAATTATCAGCCTGTATTTTCAAGGATGACCACGTCACACACTCTTCGAGATTAAAGGAGGTTTAAGAGATGACAGCTGCAGTGAAGCCAGACACTGATCTACGGGTGGGTAGGTGGGTGGACAGACTGAACAATCAGGTACATCGATGCATGCGGAGTGTGCCCATGACCACTCATACAGTTGGCAGACAATGTTTCTACAAGTGTATTTGTGTGTTCTGTAAGAATCCCCACAGATACAGTATAACTGACAAGGGACAAGTTTGTAGTCACTTCTTGGCCACAGCCAGCTGCCCAGAGGAAGCAAGTAGTTGGACCTGTGGGCCTGGGACCATGGTTGCACGGAACATCAAGCTCAATTGGCATAACATACTACACAAAACGTTGTTCCACATCCTACTTTGGTGAGTAGCAACTGAGATCTTAAAAGCTCGCAAGCAGCCATCTAGATGCAATGATGGATCTCTCTTCATCCAGAGCAAAGAAGAATGAAGAAAACCAAAGATTCATGGAAATAATTAGTCCGAGCGACTGGTACACCATGCGATCCTCAGTCTATACGACTATGAGACCAGAAGAAGTAGATGGTGCCTAGATACCATTGTCAACCACTAGGAGGGGGATCTATCTTGATCCCAGATAGACTGGGAGAACAGTGTGGAACAAAAGTAAAAATCATAAAAGGAAAATAGATAAAAGGGACCAGGTTTGCTGATCTGATAGAGCCTAATGGAACCCCTGAGACTATGGCCCCTAGCTGCCCTTCAAGTCTGGAATTGAACCCACTCCTATGGCTTCCAGCCAAACAAAAGACAGGCATATGAGCTGAACATTTACATTAGGTAGATACACTCCTCGGAGAGATCAACCATGGGAGAAGGGCCGTGTATGAACAGGGGAACAGCTGGGGGGCGGGGGTAGGAGTGCATGGAGGAAAGAATACAGGGAAGAAGTAACTATGGGGAGGAAGTGGGAGCGGAGCTGTTGCATTGTGGGAGATTACAATCAATGTCATGAGACAAAGTGTATGTGAACTGCTGTATGGAAGATGAATTTGCTCTGTAAACTTTCACCCAAATCACAATAAAACTTAAAAAAAAAAAAAAAAAACTCACTGCCATGGAGTCAGACCCATCTCATAGCGACCCCTCCTTGGGTTTCCAAGGCAGTATCACTAAGGAAGTAGATTGCCCAGCCTTACTTCTGAGGAGTGGCTGGTAGGTTTGAACCACCAGCCTTCTGGTTAGCAGTCAAGTGCCTTAGGCACTACACCACCAGAGCTCCTATGTGTATAGTCTAGGTTGGTTTTTTTTCTACTCAGCAGGGGGAGGGTGCAGGGGACATTAATCATAAAGGATGTTATTAGGACAACTGGAGAAAACTGGCAGGTGTTACATCAATGTTGATATTCACTGAGGTCATGTAAGGTGATGCCCTTGTTTTTAGGGAATGTTACACACAAGTGTCTGAAGGTGAAGAAGCATGGTCTGCAGCTTATTGTTAAAAGGTTCAGAAAAATGTCTGCACCTGAAGAGAGAATGTAACAGATGCGACAAAACGTTACCAGGTAGGGGATCTGGGAAGTGAGTACATTTCTGCCACTTTTCCTTCAATTTGTCAATAAAAGGTTGGGGGAAAAAACTTCCAGAACCTGTAAGAGGAAAAAAAGACCACACCCTCCCTCCAGGGTCAGCCATTCTTAGTCTGCCTCCGGAGGTAGCAGCTCATAGCACCTCAGGCCGGGGCTCAGGCACAGTTTGCCTTTGATCCACCCTTATCCTGCTTGTGCCCAGTGGACAGCCCCAGGCACCCTTCAGGCCTCCTGCAGCATCTATCCACCTAAACCTCAGGGTGCAACTCAGTGTGGGCCATGTGTGAAGACACCTAAAGCTTTGGATGTTTTCGGGGTCACAGCCTGTCTGAGACCCTGCTAAAGACCACAGGTGGCTCCCCACAGACAAACATGCCAACTTTGGAGGAGAGTTTATGACTTCCCTGAAGACAGTCCACTAATAAGCCTATTCAAAGAATGATGGAGATGGGGCACAAAAGGCCTTGGGTTGAGGTGAGGGCTATTTGTGGGTCTGGCCTGTGAGGATGAGAAACACTGAGAAGCTGGGCTAGGGCTTGCTGAACCAACTCTGATTTGCACCATCAGTCAGCTTCTCAATGGTATGGAGCAAGGCTACTGCAAGGACACCAGAAAGAGGCACAGTTTCCCCTTACAGCACATTTACTAACGCTCCGTGAGCCACTTCACAAGGGATGCCCCCTCCTTCTGCAGAGAAAAGGAGGCCAGGAGAAATCACGTGACTGATGCAGGGTGACACATTGTGTCTGCCACCAATCACCCTACATGCTTCTCCCCACCAATCAAGAACTCTTACTTCACCCCAGCCAGGTTTCCCAGCCCTGCAAGTGATGCCATGCCCCAATCCATCACACACACAAGTCACAGAACAAGTGTTTAATGACCAGGCATGTTGGGATAGCTGGGTACCCTCCAGGAAGGGTTAGCCTGTATGTGGAACCCTCGGCCTGTGGAGACCATGGGGGCTAGTGGGCAACCTGGATCCTTGCTGCTTCTTCCCTTTGCTTTGTACTCATGTAAAGACCCCAGGTATGATTCTGTTTAAAGAGTCTGTCAACCAGAAGGGGCAGGTAGGGAAGAGGTGTGCTGGGGGAGGGGGAAGGTGAGGTAAAAAAATAAAGGAGCTAACCCCGTCCATCAATGCCAGCATACCGACACTTTCAATAGACACATGACTATGAACTAGAACCTGACATGGACTACACAATGACTTGAGGAAGGCAGGAATGTGACCCAGCAGAGGGAAATGAGATAGGAATGTGCAGATCTGGGTCAGGGAGAGGCAGCTCAATGCCTCTCTCCTGTCAGTCTAGGCCTTGCTTGATGCCACTATGCGGGTGAGATGCCACACCTGGTTCTTGCCCTTTCCTGGTTGTGTGGAGGATGGTGATGCCACTGTCTTTCCCCTCACATCATCCACCAAAATGACAAACCCCCTAAGTTCCCAGTCAGGAGGCCCCTCTCAGGAGCCACATCCCTGCCCTCCTCCCACTGCCTGAGTATCTGCTGTGCACCAACAGCCAAGTCCAGGGCGAGGAAGGGCAGCAGAGAAGAGCTGGTGCAGGCGGCCCTACTTTCTGGAGGCCCCAGCATCCTGTCCCTCGGCCTTACCCAGGTCTGTACAGTGCCAAGCTCTCTGGAAACCCCCAGCATAGCACAGGTCCCACCCAGGTGAAGAGGGGTCGTGAGATGTGGCCTGAGGTGCAGGCTTGGTCACGTGGAGCAGGGACCCTCAAGTCCCATCTTCCCCTGGGAGTGCCTCCAGCTGATGTTCCTGGTCTCAAGCCCTCAAACAAAAGATCCTGCTGGCCAGCTTGGAGCAGCTGGAACCTCGCAGGTACTGCAGCAGCAGGACAAGCTTCTTGGTGGCAAATGGGTCCCAAGAAAGGCCACAGGGGCTGCCAGTAACCCACTCTCTACCTCAATCTGTCCCAGAACCATACCTGGGGCTGGTGTCATCCCTCAGCTGGGCCCCCACTGCCCAGATCAGGGGTTGGAGAGAGGCTGTGGCTGGTCCACAGAGAAGCCTCCGAGGCTCCTTCTCTTTCTGTTGGACAGAGCCCCTGGACCACCCCTGGCCTGAGGGGGACCTGACAGAGGAAAGTCTATGAGAACAGGCTCACCCAGGAGTCACCAGAAGCCCCAGGTGAGATGAGGGGTTGGGGTGAGGAGCATCTGGGTAGAACTCAAACCAACCCCTGGAGAAAAATCTCAGGCCCCAGCCAGGTCTGTGCAGCGGCCTCTGTGGCTACTCCCAGAAACTCTGTTGGGGATGTCTGCCTGGGCCAGCACTAAGTTGGCAGTCTTGGCCCCAGAGGACATGCAGGGCTCTGCCTCATGGGAAAACAAGAGGCCCTCTGCACTCCCTTGTCCACTGGAATCTGTGAGACCCTGCAGGTGCTCAGATGATGGTCCTCGTGGGTGCAGCTCGCCTTCTGGCCCAGCAGGTGGGGGTCCAGGGGTCTGCAGTGTAGAACAACACCTGGACTTTGGTGCTGGCCCGGCCCCACCACCCCCGTGCCCTAGGCATCCACATCCAAGCTGGGCTCCTGGAAGAGTGACCGCTTGCGCAGGGTCAGGCGGGCACATTTTGGGCACGTGGTTGAGTTGTCATAGTAGCAGTCCCTAGGGAGGAAGACAGGGTCAGCGGCCTCTGCCCTGGGAAAGGGGCCTCCTGAGCTCTGCAAGTCAACAATATCACTGAGCTCCCACCCCCTAAAGTCCCACCATCCTAACAGACAGGGACACTGAGGCTCAGGAGCGCCACTGACTACAAGCCTGTGTAAGGCGGACACATGCCTGGGGCACACAGGGGTCTTCTGAGGATCCTGCACCCATTGTTACTGGTCCTGCAGTCATGCCCAGGTTCTATGGCCAGAGGAGGCCGAGCCCTGTCGGTCACTGTGGCCACCTGCTCTCACCAACACTATGCAGGCCCCTTCCCAGCTCCCGAGTGGAGCACAAGGCACCTGGGCCCTGTAGAGAATGCAAAAGGGTTCACAGGGCAGTGTGAGTTTTGAAGGGGCACTTGCGAATCTGGCAGACACCATGAAAACTAGTACAGGACGCTCCGTTTCAATGCTGGGTTTTGCTCATTCCTTTCTATGACATCATGAGTTCAGCTTTTGCTTAAATAAACAACAAGAACTACAGAAAAATTTGTGTGGATGGGATCATGAAGGGGTGATGTCCAGCAGGAACCTAGTTTGAGAAGGTGTGCATGCCCTGCCAGCACACACCTATGAGTAACTGTTTATTTAAGAATAAAATAAAAGTGTTATTTTCCTTCCAATTGGCGTGTTAGTCTTTCAAAGAGCCACTAAGTCTTCAGAAGATAAATACTGGTTAAGTATCACTTAATAAATGACAGCACTGGGTATTTCTTTTGGCCCAGGGGGCCATGAAACAATAGCTAAGCCAATAGTTCCCAAACAAGAATCTCTGCAAACTTCTGGTCTGTGCTCAGCCTGAGCGAGAAGCACAGATCCTGGTGAAGGCAGGTGATGGTGTGAACACACATGGCTCGGACTTGTCCAGGATGGCTCTGGGCTGTGCCCCTGCCCCAAGCCCCACAGCTCCCTACAGGGCCTTTGATTTACTCACAGACATCAAGGACCAACCCTGAGCCTGCACCTTGGCATCAAGCAAAGGTCTGGGGAAGTCAAGAGTTGAAGTATAAGTGAGGAAACCCCAAGGGGGCTGGGCTGCACCCACCTGTGGAAGACAGCAGAGCAGTCTGTGCACACGGAGGTGTGGCTGTCAAACGGGAACAGCACGTCGCCTTCTCTGCACAGCTCACACACGAAGCCCTTGGCCTGGCACCGCTGGGGTGGGGGGTTGTCTGGGTGAATGCCAGCTCTGGGGCTGCCTCTTCTCCCAACCCCCTCAGGGCTGAGAGACCCATGAGCCCACAAAGGGGACCCACCTCACAGTCCAGCTTGATGTGCTTGGCGAAGAGAGTGTGGATTTCCGTCAGTGAGCAGCTGAGGCGGCCCATGTGTACATCCACCAGGTCCTGGACCGAGTACATCTCGTCGTTCTCCACAAAATGCTGCCGGTCCTGAAGCTGCCAAGGCCTCGGGCATGAGGCCAGCACCACCGGACCACCCACACACAACCACACCTGGCTACCCCACCACCAGGTCCCAGGGGTGTGCGTGGAAGCTTCAGGTGGGGTCTGTAACTGGATAGCACCAGAAGAAAATCTGGAACCCCAGGGGGCCCACAGAGCAGGGCCAAGTGTGAAGCTCCCACCACTCATCACAGCCACAGTCTGCTCTGACCACCGTGGCCAACTCCATGCTCCAGACATGCCACCCCACCTGCGGTCTTCCAGGGCCGTCCCCTCCGCCTATGCATGATTCTCTCATCCCCCAGGTCCTTTCTGCTTTGTCCACTGCTCCCCAGGGCATAGGACAGTGTCTAACACTCCAGGTGCTCAGGAAATATTTGTTGGATGAATAAACAGGTGACCTTGAAAAGACCAGTCTGTGGTCACCCCTGCTCAGGACAGCTATGCCCTCAGCCCCACCACCCAGACTCATATAAGGGTGACAGGGACGATACCTGTTCACCTCAGGTTATCTTTGTGGGTGGAATACCTGCTGAGATTACCTGAGACAGAGTTTGGGAAAACTTCTGTCCTCACTGCTGCTCTCTGGGTATCCCCCCACACCCCAGCCTCCCTGTAGCCCCTTGGCCGCCTGACCTGCAGAAGCAGACGTGACTCCATGGCCTCCTTGCACGTGATGAAGTATGGTTTCATAAGCAGGATGTCCTGCCGTAGCTTCTGCAGTGGGAAGGACACAGGCATTGAGGGGGGCATACTTCCAGTCCCCCAGGATGGCCCAAGCACACTCTGAGGGCGACAGCCAAGCACAGAGTGGAAGCACAGCTGCCCAGGCAGGGCAGGACCTGGAGGTGCATTTACCGATGTCCAAACCCTCCTATACCTAAGCCCACCCTCACAGCCCCACATGTGACTCAGTAAACACTCCTGTCCCTGGAGTCAGCGGCCTGGCCCACCTCATTCCGGCCCCAGCCCTGTGGCCTTGGCAACTTCTCTTGCTCTGCCTCAGATCCCACTTATCTCCCCAAGATGCGGTGGGCTTCCGGGCTGGTGCACCAGCCTGGCCCTGCTCCCTGCTCCCTCACTACTAGCTAACACGGTGGTGCTAGTCCCAGTGGAGCTGAGCCCTAGCCCTGCCTGGTCTGAATGGAGGGCTTCATGGTGTAGGATACACACCCAAATTAGAAGACTAAGGACAAGAAAGACAAGCAAAATACCTCAATAATTTTATATATTGCTTGCACACACTGAAATAATCTTTTAGATACAGTGCAGAAATACACCATTTTATTAGCGCCCGTTTCTCTTTACTTCTTTGATGTGGCTACCAGACAATTTAAATTACCCGAGGGGCTCCCACATTCTTCCTGGCCCTATTCTAAGAAGCCGAGGTCCCGTCAGGCCCCAGCCTGGCTGCTCATCTGCTGCCCGGAATCTCCCTGCTCCCTCTCTCCTGGAGGAGAACAAGACGCTGCTGCAGCCTCCAGGACCCCTGCATGCAGCTGTCCTCCATCGTCCCCGTACTGCTGCCCCTCCCGCAGTCCCGCTCCCCCATTCGAACACAGCCCCCATGCCACCCCACCTCACCCAGAGCACACAGCCCCCATCACCACTCCCCCACCCCATCACTACCCCTTCGCTGCATCCCTACCACCCAACCTCATCACCACCCTCTTCACCCCATTCCACCCCTATATTTGGTTCTGACCTCTGGACTCTCACTGGCCCCCTGCCCCTTCACCACCCCCTCACCCCATTCTGCTCCCCCACCCTGTTCTGTACCCCACCCTGTTCTGACCTCTTGACACTTACTGCACCTTCTGCCCCATCACTGCCTGCCTGCACCTTCACCCCCCTCACCCCATCCTACTCCCCGCCCCATTCCAACCTCTCACCCCATCACTGCCCCCTGCCTCTTCCCCACCTCCTCACCCCATCACTGCCCCTTGCCCCTTCCCCAACCCTCTCACCCCATCACTGCCCCCTGCCTCTTCCCCACCTCCTCACCCCATCACTGCCCCTTGCCCCTTCCCCAACCCTCTCACCCCATCACTGCCTTCCACCCTGTCCTGCCCCCCAATTCCGACCTCTCACCCCATCATTGCCCCACCCCCTCACCCGGATCTCCACAAGCTCCTCCACGTAGTTGAACAGCAGAGGGTTGATCTCACGGAGGCGCAGGACGGGCCTTGACACCATCAGGGCCAGGTAACGCATGCTGCAGCGGGACACCTGGGAGGGGCTGAGTGGCACTGCTAGTGCTTGTCCCCCCCCAAGGCAGGACCTACTCCTGCTTCCCCTCCCCAGGGAAGGCCACAGCCTCCCCCACCAAGGTCAGCCCTCTTTCCTCCCAGCCCTGCTTAATAAAACCACCCCCCAGACCATGCCCCGTCTCCCTCACCCCCAGGTCTGTGAGGGGCCTCACCTTCCGAGGCTCAAAGTCCCAGTTGTGGATCACGCGAGCGGGGATGACAGCCAGATCATTCCAGTGGCAGTGGCTGCAGTAGTACTGGCCAGTGTAGTCACACTGCCGGGCCTCACTGGGCACACCCCCTGCAGAGCGTGGCACCAGGGCTGAGCGAGCACACCGCGGCCACACTGCCCGTCCCAAAGCACCTCACTCCTCCCCACAGGTTCACTATTCTTCTTGCTGTGCCCATGGGAGACCTTCCAGACCCAACTCTTCCTGCGTCTCTGTGCCTCACTTTTGTCATGAGTAAAATGGGACAATAACAGGCCTCATCACTGGACTGGTCAGGCGCATGCACTAAGGTCAGTGGATCTAGGAGGGCAGCTGGCTGGGGCAGTGCCTAACTGTTCCGGGGTTTCTCCCCCTCCCCTCTCCAGGACGGCCAAGTGCAGGGTGCGCCCACATGCTCAGGTCAGTCCAGTGCTGGCCAGCAGTCAGGAGCACCTGAACTTCAGTGTCCTTGAACCTGACACAAAGAAGATGTGGATAACGGCACCCGAGGTAGACCTGAGGATAAACGGTAGGGGCTGCTTCCCCAGCACCTGGCTGTTCATTCTCTGATTTGATAGGCAGCCACCCCCTACACTGGTCCCTACAGCCCCCCCAGTGGCCTGGCGCCTCACGCAGAGAGATGGGTGCCCGGCACTCAGCACAGCGGTAGTCCTGGCTGTCCAGCCCCATCTCGGGACAGATGTTCAGCTCGTACTCAGCTTGGTGGCTGACTTTGGAACGGACACAGGGCTTGGAGATGAGGTTCAGGCACTTGCTGTGACAACGGTAATAACACCCTGGAGGGAGGGGACAATCACACACGGCTCTTAGAAGTGGAAGGAGGGGGCATCCCGTGGCCCAGGCTCACCTTCGGTTGCAGGACCTACATGCCAGGCAGAGGCTGGGCTCGCCAGGGTGGGTTCCACACCGTGGTAGTTAATGTTTGTCTGTCAACTTGGCTGGGCCTGGTTGAGTGGCCGGGCAGCTGGTGGTAGTTATTCCCAACGCCCAGCTCACACCAGTGGCTGCTCGGAGCCCTGCACAGGTCCCAGAATTTAAGGTCCCCCCCTCTTCCAGTCTGTTGTGCCTTGTGCTGAAGGGGTCATGCAGACCTTGTCCCTTAAGTGCAGACATCCAGGGCCTACCTGCTATTTCACCACAACACCCTTACCCCAAGCTGTCCAAAAGAGAGGTCCTGACCTTCCTTCCCAAACCCGCCCCCTCCTCCCCTAGTCTCCCCATCTCTATCCTGTGGAGCTAAAGCTCTTGAGGTCCCCTTGACCACTCTCCTGTCTTTTACCTGGAGCTGGACTGCCCTTCCCACGCCCCACACCCACCACAGACACCGGGCTGCTTTCCCCCTCTTGATTACTATAACTAATTGGCTTACACACATCATTCTCTTCCACCTTTGCCCTCCCTCCTTCAGTCCATGGCAACTCGGCAGCCAGGTGACCCAGTGAAGACCTGCATTTGCCCAGCACCCACCTGTGGGCCCCACTACGCTCAGGAAAAAAGCCCCAGCCACCTCTGAGTCCAGCTCTTCCCCACTCCCCGTCCAGTGCTGTGCTCTGGCACACAGCTCTCTGCTCCTGCGCGAGGCACTGAGCGCATATCCCACAGGGTTTTGGAAGCATGACCCCTCTGCCGCAGCATTCCTCCCCAGATATACTCAGGTTTTTACTTTAAACGCCCTGCGGTTCCTTCTCGTTCCACCCTACGTAGCATCGTCCCTCGCCTCAGGCACACTCTCTCCCCTCTCCTTGTGCCCTTCACTGCTCTGTGATTAACACCAGATGGTTTACTTATCATGTCTGACTTATCGGCACAACCATGGAAACGTTCCCAATGTGCGCTGTCCATCATGGTGACCACAAGTCGGGGGCAGCCGCTGGGCTCTTGTAAAAAGTACAATCAAGGACTATATGTTTATTTTAATTATACTAATGTGGCCTTCGGCCACCACCCTGGACACTGAACTAGAGCGTGGGTGCCATGAGGCAGGGGTTTTGCTCCCCTTTGTTCACTCTGGTGCCCACAGCACAATGTGGGGGCTCAGTCAGTGTTGATTAGACTGAGGAGTGTTACCTAACAGCGGACACAGAAGCAGAGCTGGCGTCTGCCCTGCCCCCGGGACCACGCCCAGCAGGGACAGGTCCGGGCCGCCTGCTCACCTGTGCAGGTGTACCACGTCTGGATGAGCCCCCAGATGATGGTGTTACACTTGTCACAGGTCTGTTTGACACTTTTGCTCTTCTCCTTGTAGAATCGGTGCTCCAGGAGGACTCGGATATTGGGCTCATCCTCACTGGGGTCCTGTAGGGGGGCCAGGGTGGAGCCACAGGTGAGTCCAGCTGCCATTTGCAGCAGAGATTGTTTGCAGTCCCCAGTCTTATCTGTGGTTTCTTTCATCAATAGAAGACCCCAGTGCTCAGCCAGCATGGCCACCAAGAACACAGGCCACCCTTCTGACACCCCTTGCAGCAAGGTTCTGCCATGGAACTACAGTGAGCCAAGGCCACGTGAGCAGGGATGACATGGTCCTCTCACGTTACCCCATTTCTGCTGGCTCAAGTACATACCCAGAAGGTGTGGAGGGGGGCTATCTTGGATCCTTCGGGAACGGGCAGAGCAACAAGAACAGGAGGACCCAGGGGCCTCACACCATTATCTGCCATAGGAGGCCTGGGCCACCTACCAGGTTTTCACATGAGGGAAGATTTTAAGCCAGTGTACTCTGGGGGGGCCTTTGTTACCACTGCTTTACCTATATTCTAATGAATATTCCACCTTCTAAATCCCCAGGGACCCGTACCAGGGCAGGGGCAGCAGCACCCAAACCAAAGCGCACATGACTCCGCAGCTGTCAGCCTCCAGGATCCACCCCCTTCTGCCAGCACTTCCAGGAAACCACCTCTTCCACTCTGGGTCAACTGGTTCAGGGTGAGATTGACCTCCCCTTTTTGGTCCAGTAGATGGCACATGACCCAAGCCTGGCCAGTCAGTCACTGTGGTTGGTTCAGGGGTAGGTAGATGACCCAAGACTGCCCAATCAGTCACCAGGATTGGTTCAGGTATGAACAGGACCCTGGACTGGTCAATGAAAGTCAGTCTGAGACTCCCTGTAACCACTAGCATGAAAGCTCCCATCTGCTTGAGGACTGCCAAGCAGGTAGGATGACAGCCACAGCTGCTGAGGTATCTCTGCTACCCTTGGGGAGAGCTGGTCTGAGAACAGACCAGACCCAAAAGCTGAGGAGACCTTTCCATCACTAAGCCGCTGCTCTTTTCTAAGCAAATACAAAGTTGGGTTTCTGTCCTTTGCAACAGAGAGAATCCAGAGAAACTGAGAGAGGAATTGCTGGGACATGGGGTAAGGGGCCCCCCTTTCACCCTCCCTCTCTGGTAAGGCCTTCAGAGAGGGCCCAGGGCACAGGGCCCCCATGGAAGGGGAGAGTAGCCGGCACCCACCTTCAGCTCCTGGAGCTTCAGCCGCAAGTGGATGAGCCGCACCACGGCATCCTTCTGCTTCTCCGACTGCTCAGGCAGCTCCAGGATCACCTGCTTGCACTGCTCGATGGCCCGACGCAGCTGCTGCACATCCGAGGCCAGGAACAGGCCCTGCCAGGCAGGAGATGCTCAAAGGCCCCCGAAGCCAGGCCCACCCTGTAGACCCTTGTAGACCTCAGTCCCTCCTCCAGATGAGGAAACTGAGGTGGGGGGGGTGGCTCCAGGCCCAGGTGAGTGAGCAGTCAGGATGGGATTCACGCCTGGGCCTGGGCACGACCTCTAGCCACAGACTCTGAAGACCTAATTCAGAATGCTTTTCAAAAGACAACTGCCTGAGAGAGTTACATGGGCAGTACAAACAACAAATATGAACCCCTTTGTAAATACAATACTGAGTTGTCAATGAAAGCAAACATGGGTATAGGGACGGATAGATGGGTGAACAAGCTAAACAATTATGTATGTCTAAATGGAGAGTGTATCCAAGATCATATACAGGGTTGGCAGACAATGGGCCTCTCGAAGAGTATGAAGGGATGGACACTGGGAGGAGGTGGCTATGGGGAGGAAGTGGGAGGGGAGCTGCTGCATTGTAAATTTTGGTCAATGACATGAGACAAGGTATATGTGAACTGCTGTATGAAAAGTGAATTTACTCTGTAAATCTTCACCCAAATCCTAATAAAAAAAAAAAAAAATAGAAAGAAAGGCATATAAGAAGCAAAAGTGACAAAATCCTAATAATTGTTGAATCTGGGTGATGAGTATATGAGTATTCACAGAACTATGCGCTCTACCTTTGTGTATGTCTGGACATTGTCATAATAAAAATTTTAAAGAAAAAAAAAAAAAAAAAGACAACTGCCTTCTCTGAGAAGTCTGATCACCTCTCTGGCTACTCTTCCACTTTCCACTTCTTTCTGAAGAGCTTCCTCCTAGAGGGACCCCCATCCCAGCCCCTGCAACAGCCCACATTCCACAGTGACCCAGAGGACCAGGGTCCAGTCAGGCACCCAGGCCAGGAAACTAGGATGTCCTTGCACCAGGAAAGGGGCTCTCTTGTCCTCAGGAGCTCCTGCAGATGTGGGACCCTGGGTACCCAGGGAAAGAGGAGGTGGTGTCTCCCACTGGGGCACAGTCTGCCCACAGGAAGTGCTCAAAAATGTTTAAATGATGCAAAACACGTGTGAGGATGTGTCTGTATGGGCAAACTTAAGAGCCAAGTGCAAAACGAGAAGTGAGTTAGGGCTGGGGGGCTTCTGCGTGCTGTTTTACTTGAAGTTGCTTTTTTTATAAGCACTGAATGGTTTGCTATAGGAAAGGAGATGCTGTACAAGAATGGGTGGGAATCTGAGGACCGTGTGACTCAGAAGGCTGCCTCTGGGACTGCTCAGTATGTGTTGTCTCGTATGCTCTTTAGACCCAGAGGTCTGTCACCACTTAAGTCAGGTGCATTTTAATGTCACTCTACTGTTTATCAATTGAAAGGTGAACATGGTTTACGTGAAACATAAAGCTTTTCACACTTTTTAAATCAGAAAAAGAGTCCTTTATGTTTTCCATAAGTCTTCCAGGGAACCCCAGTCTAGAATAGACAAAAGTGACTATGGGCTAGAGAAACCCCTGAGACTATCACCCCTAGCTGCCCTTCAGGTCTGGAACTGAATTCACTCCTGTGGTTTCCATCCAAATAAAAGACAGGCATGTGGGCTGAACATCAGGTAGATACACTCCTTGGAGAGATCAATCATGGGAGAATAGAAGGGCTGTGTATGCCCAGGGAGACAGCTCAGAGGGCAGGAGTGCATGGGAGGGAAGAGGTGGCCATGAGGAGGGAGTGGGGAAAGAGATATTACATTTTGGGAAATTGCAGTCAATGTCACAATACAAAATGTGTATGAACTGCTGTAGGGAAAATGAATTTGCTCTTTAAACTTTCACCCAAATCACAACAAAAATTTAAAAAAGAAAAAAGTGGCTGTGGGTGGGAGGGTGATGGGAAGGGGCAGGGCTTTCCTCCCTCCTCCTGCCCCGACCCTGGACATGCCCACAGGAACCCCTAGAATCCAAAGGGAGCCTTGACTTGAGGTGGGGGCTGCTGAGCCTCAGGACAGTGGCTTGGAAGGGAGATAACTGTGACCACAGGCCCATGGTACCTAGCGAGCTGCAGGCAGGTGACAAAGAAACACGTCCTCAGGTGCCTTGAGCTCACCCATCCACCCCTGCTCCCCTCCCAGATCCCAAACACCTCACCACGGGTCGGGAGAAGTGGTCCTCAGACAGGCCGAGATCCATCACACACTCAGGGCAGTGGAATTCAGGCTCTGAGGGGGACAGCTCTGGTGGGGCTTCTGCGAGTGGCAGAGAAGGGAAGAAACCAGAGGAGAGAGAAGTCAGCAGCCCCCTCTAATGCCCCTGTCCTTCCTCCCACGTGGTGGGGCCAGGGTCAGCGCCAGGGTAGTGGGGTGGGAAGGGCCCTTGGTATGTGGAGGCCCCTACACATGGCTTCCTGCCCCTCCTGCACACCTGCCCTGGTGGCCTTTTTAAAGGAACCTGTACTCCTTGTGCAATTAGGAAAGAGTTGTTCTAAAGATGGCACAGGATTCAATATTGTGACAACACACCCACAAGGCAGCTTTCTGGAACCATCCCAATGTCCAAGGCCAATGCCTTGTGCATAGACACATGTGGACTGAAACCAGCTGGCTGGATAGCTACGTAACAGGACTACCAAACCCTGTGTGGCCTCCAGACCTCTCTGCAGGGCCGGCCCCAGTGCCCTCCTGCCCATATCTACAGGCTCCAGGCTCACAGTCCCTCACCTGCTAACTCCCAACTGAGCACTTAAGAGCACCCACTGTGTGCCAGGCCCTGGGATACAGTGGTGGCAAGACAGACAGTTTCTGCCCTCTGGAGGGTTAATTCTGGGGAAGACAGAATAAAGAAGTGGGGTCCAGAATGGAGGGGAAAGGCAGAAGAGGAGGCGGAGGGAGTCAGGTGCCAGTGGGCTGGGAAGGACCCCCTCCCATAGAGGCTAAAGGAGGGGAGGGACCCCCTCAGGTGCCTGGGGACGGTTCTAGGCAGTGCAAAGGCCCTGAGGCAGAGGCCAGTCGTGGAGGTAGAGTGAAAGGGAGAGCACGGGAGCCAATCAGAACTGGCCTCAGGACAAAGGACCTCACTGGTGATGCAGGAACAGGGTGGCAGTCAGGCTGGGCAGCAGCCCCTTCTCCTGCATCACTACAGTCGCTGCCACCAATCCTGTGATGACAGGGCTGTGTGGGGTCATCCACAAAAGCAGTGGGGTGAGGCCCAATCCCCAGGCCAGCACGGCCTCCAGCCCAGCACCCACCTTCCGTATCGCGGTCTGGGGTCTCCTCACCAGACCCCTGTTCATGCTGCTGCTTGTTGAAGGGGTTGAGGTGGGCCTGCCGGAACCGGGCCAGCTTCTCATCATATTCCATAGCATCCCACCTGTGGGACAGACAGAGTGAGTACTGGGTCGGGCTCCCTACATCCCCAACCCTCTCTGAGTTCTGAGGTTTCAGAGGCAAGACCTCACTCCTCTCTCGGGGGGGGGGGGGTCTCAGCCCTCCCCAGGTCCACACATACACATATGTACATACACATACACACACACGCTGGGGAAAAGCCCACAGTGATGCCATCCAACCACTTCTTGTTGCAGAGGGTAATGACTTAGCCAAGTTGCCAGTACAATGACAGGAGCCCAGGCTCTTGCCTCCAGCACAGGCTTCTTTGGTCCCAGAATGCAGTGGGGCACCAGAGGGTCATCACATGGTCACGGCTCCCGGTCACCTCATTCAGCCCTGGCCCACCCACACCTTCCTGTGTCTGCCACCCAAGCCGTGACTCAAGCCAGATCACAGATGCTGGGAGACACCAAAGAGGGCCTGGCTGCACCTGCAGCACAATCCAAGACACCCTGAAAGGTCAGTGACCCTCAGGAGTGCAGTGTGGGTACTCCGGAGCCAGGATCCACCCCTGCTCTGCCACCAGCTGGGTGACTGGGGGATGGGGTTGCTGGGCCACAGAGGGTGTGTCTGCAGAGCGTTAAGTGCCCGACAGGAATATCCTCATCCAGGACTCTGGTCACGTCTGCACCTCCCAGCCTGGATCCCACAGGTGCCTGTGTGACTCTGGTCAGCCACATGGCCCCATGCCTGGGAACCTGAGGTCAAGGCAGGCAGTGCCTGGCCCTCTCTGGTGTCTCCCAGCTACTGCCAGAGGTAAGACCATTACTACTCCTTGCCACTCCCTCCAGTTTGGCAGGTGATGGTCTGGTGCACGTGAGGGGGCCTGGCTGGGGCAGGGATGCAGCCTGGTTTGTAATGGCTCCCTCAACTTAACCAGCCAGACCATGAGCCTAAACTCTGTCTGCCTGTTTCCTCATCCCTAAACAGGGAAAGCGACTGACCCCACCTCAGAGGGTCCTGGTGATTGTGAGACCTCTCAGTGAGGTAGGTTGGTACTGAGAAGGAGATGTTTTAAGTTCACAGGTATCGTCATGCTCTCTTTAAACCTATCTCATCTGAAACAGCTGGTAATTATGAACGATGGCCCAGTGATTCCTCCCATGTCGCTTCTGCTGGTGTGGATGGCTGTCCCCGCATCAAACAGGAGACAGAGCTGTCCCTCCTTCCTGCTTACTACCAGATGACTTTGGCCAGATCACACAGGGAGTTTAGGTCAGAGGCAGCCACCTGATGGCCTTACACACCACCCAGAGTAGAGGAGAGGGCGAGCCGTCCCAACATTCACTTGCTCCTCTTCCTGAGTGGAGAGCACTGATCATTAGTTTGATGACCACACAGCCTCCCTTGCAGCTAGATGTGGTCATGTGACCATGTTCTAGCCAGTGAAATATGAACAGGAGGATCACATGAAACATAAAAGGGGGTCCTTCTCATCAGGCGGCCAATAAACATACGAAGAAATGTTCATGATCATTAGCCATTAGAGACATGCAAATCAAAACAATGAAATATCATCTTGCCCCAGCACTAGCAGCAAAGTTCAACAAGACAGAAAATAACAACTGCTGGTGAGGATGCAGAGCGATTGGGACTCTCACACACTGCTGGTGGGACTATAAAATGGTACAACCACTGTGGAAAGCAGTATAGTAATTCCTTAAAAAGTTGGAAATAGAAATATCATTTGATCCAGCCATTCCATTACTAGGTATATATCCTAAAGAAGTGAGAGCCATGACAAGAACAGACATGCACACCCATGTTCATGGCAGCACTATTTACAATAGCAAAAGGTTGGAAACAACCTAGGTGTCCATCAACTGAGGACTGGATAACCAAACTATGGTACATACACACAATGGAATATTATGCAACCCTAAAGAGTAATGTAGAATCTGCAAAATACTGCATGATGTGGATGAACCTGGAGGACATTATGCTGAGTGAAATAAGTCAATCACAGAAAGACAAATATTATATTAGTCTATTATTGTAAAAGTCAAGGAAAGGTTTATCTATAGAAGGAAATTTTCTTTGTTGGTTACCAGGGGTGGGAGGGGAGGGGAGGGAACACTGTTAGACAGGTAGAGATAAGTATTGATTTGGGTGAAGAGAAGGGCAATGTACCAAGTGTGAGTGATCAACATGGTGGCATTGAGGGAGAGGAAGACAAAGAGAGGTACATGGGAGGTGCAGACAACAAAGATGAACCATTTTGCACATACAGTACTGCATTGTCGGTGAAGGCAAACATAAGTATATGGGTGCATACATGGGTGGGCAGGCTGAACTAGTAGGTATGTCTATGCAGCAGGGACTGTACCCAAGACCATGTGTAGGGTTGGCAGACAATGGTTCTACAAGTGTATTTGTATGTTCTGTAAGAATTCCCAGGTGTATAGTAGAGCTGACAAGGGACGTTTGTAGTCACTTCTTGGTCACAGCCAGCTACCCAGAGGGAGTGAGTAGTCGAACCTGTGGGCTCAGGACCATAGTCACAGGGGACATCAAGCTCAATTGGCATAACATACTACACAAAACATTGCTCCACCTCCTACTTTGGTGAGTAGTGACTGGGATCTTAAAAGCTTGCAAGCAGCCATCTAGATGCAACGATGGGTCTCTCCTCATCCAGAGCAAAGAAAAATGAAGAAAAACAAAGATTGAAGGAAACAATTAGTCCTCACGACTGATACACCACGCGATCCTCAGCCCATATGGCTATGAGACCAGAAGAACTAGATGATGCCTGGCTACCACTGTCAACCATTCGGAGGGGGATCTCTGGAGGAGATCCTGGATAGAGTGGGATAAAAATATGGAACAAAACTCAAAATCATAAAAAAAAAAAAAAGGGGGGGACCAGGTTTGCTGGTCTGATAGATCCTGGTGGAACCCCTGAGACTATGGTCTGTAGCTGTCCTTCAGGTCTGGAATTGAACCCACACCTGTGGCTTCCAGCCAAACAAAAGACATATGAGTTGAACATGTACCTAAGGTAGATACACTCCTTGGAGAGAATAATAATGGGAGAAAGAAGGGCTGCTTATGCACAGGAAAACAGCTCAGGGGGAAGGAGTGCATGGAGAGATAGACATGGGGAATAGGTAACTAACGGGAGGAAGTGGGAGGGGAGCTGTTGCATTGGGATAAATTGCAGTCAATGTCATGAGACAATGTGTGTGTGAACTGCTGTATGGAAAGTGAACTTGCTCTGTAAATTTTCTTCCAAATCACAAATAAAAAAAGAGGGGGTGGTGCCTTCTTCAGGCCTGCTTCTTTCCTGCTGGCTGAGATGCAGACGAAATGGTGGAGCTGGAACAGCCACCTTGGTCTGTCATGGAAGTCCTGGATGAAGATGGAAGAGCAAGGTAGAGGGGCTTCCAGCTGGGCCCCGAGCTGCTAACCCCAGGCTTCATTCAAGCAAGACAGAAATAATCTGCTTAAACCACTCTTACTAGGGGACGATGGGGAATGCTGTCTATTTCCTGATCACTACAACAGCATTGTGGTGAGTCCTGGATGGAGTGGGAGAACTAGGGGAAGGTGGGGAATCCTGTCTATTGAAGCCAGAACAAATCTTCACTGATCACTACAACAGCATTGTGGTGGATCCTGGATAGAGTGGGAGAACAATGTGGAACAAAATGCAAAATCATATAAGAAAAAAAGGGACCAGGTTTGTTGGTGTGGTAGAGCCTGGTGGAACCCCTGAGACTATGGCCCATAGCTGTCCTTTAGGTCTGGAACTGAACCCACTCCTGTGGCTTCCAGACAAACAAAAGGCAGGAACAGGAGCTGAACATTTACATTAGGTAGATACTCCTTGGAGAGATCAACCATGGGAGAATAGAAGGGCTGTGCATGCACAGGGAGACAGCTGAGGGGCAGGAGTACATAGAGGGAAGGACACAGGGAAGAGGTAACTATGAGGAGGAAGAGGGAGGAGAGCTGTTGCATTGTGGAAGATTAGAGTCAATGTCATGAAACAAAGTGTATGCGAATTGCTATGTGGAAAATGAATTTGCTCTGTAAACTTTCACCCAAATCACAATAAAATTAAAAAAAAAAAAAAAAAAACTCAGGCAAATAAATAAGTACTATTGTGGTGATAAGCTGCATTGGTCCCGACCCTAACTCTGCCATTTTCTAGCTGTGCGACCTTGCTCTAAAGCCTAGACCTCTTCTTGCTTTCAATTTCTTGTCTGAAATGGGGATAACAATGTGTTGCTCTGTGCTGTCAAGCTGACTCCACGTAATGGGGACCCTATGGGACGGAGCACAACTGCTCCGCTGGGTTTCCTCGGCTATAATTTTAGGGGAACAGATTGCCAGGTCTTTTCTCTCCTGGAACCACTGATGGGTTCAAATTGCTGACCTTCTGGTTAACCCTAACCTCTGGTTAACAACAGAGGGCTTAGTCATTGCCATCAGGACTCCTTGAGGACAACAATAGCACCCATCACCCAGAGCCACTGCGAAGGTCCAATTAGTCAGTACCCAATGCTGGGCACACTGACCAGCACATAGTACCAAAGCCAAACCCACTACCGTTCTGACTCACTATGACCCTCCAGGACAGAGTGGGAGGTTGAGGCTGGACTGCCTCATCTTTCTCCTGCAGAGCAGCTGGGTGTCAACCGCCAGCCTTTCGGTGAGCAGCTGGATGCCTCAACCACTGAGCCACCAGAGTGCTCAGGAAACACGGGCAGCTTCCTGCACTGCAGTCGCCCTTACGCAGCCCTTACGCAGGACCGGCAGTCTTCACTTGAATTCTGGCTCTCCCGTCACGACCTACCCCACTTTCTCATCCATAGATCAGGGCTGACACTGGCTTCCCGGGAGTGGGGTGGAGGGTAGGAGGCCACACCTGCCTGTGTCAGAGAAGCAGGTGCCCTGAGCTGCTACCAAGTAAAGCCTCACTCTCATGTTGTGGCCTGCCTGACCCCAAGCACTGGACGAGAGTGCCCACC